CAGGAGTCCAGCCCCCTCCTCCCTCAGACCCAGGAGTCCTCACTTTGCCCCCATCCTTCTTCAGGCCCCTAGTCCCTTCCTCCTTCAGGGGCAGGAGTTTTGGTCTCTAGACCCCTCCTCCCTGAGGCCCAGGAATCCAGACAGCCCAGCACCTCCTTGCTTGCTGACCAGGAGTCCTGGCTCCCCGGCGGTGGATCCAGACCCTCGGCTCTGCTCTGCTCTGACCTGCAGGTGAGGGACCAGCTGGAGGCAGCCCAGCGAGCCTACGAGGACCTGGAGTTCCAGCAGCTGGAGCAGGAGAGCCGGCGGGAGGAGGAGGATCGGGACAGCCCTGGGGCCCGGGCGCTGGATCCCAAGGTGCAGGAGCTCCAGGCCAGTGTGGCACAGCACAGGGTGAGCCGGACCCGGTCCCCACCCTCACCCTCCACCCCGCACTCTGCATCTGTGCCTCTTTCTGTTCTGGTGGCCTGCCTCTGCCATGTTCCTCTGGACAGGATTGAGTATTTACTGCGTGCCAGGCACCGTCTTAAGCCTGGTGGCATAGTGGTTACACCTTGGATTCTGCTCCGCAAGGTCGGCAGTTCGAAACCACCAGTTGCTCCTTGGGAGAAGGAGCAGGGTTTTCTGCTCCTGTGAAGAGTCACCATCTCAGAACTTCACATGGGCAAGTCTCCCTTGTCCTATACTATCTGGGCACTGTGAGTCCGCATCAACTGGACAGCAGTGTGGCCCTGCCCTAAACTCACTGAATGCTTACAGCCGTCTAATGGGATGAGTCGCAGAATGGTGGAAGTGACCATGTCAGAGCCCATCTGACCTCAGGGGGCGATCCTGAGCATAGTCCACCCTCCCACCTTCCTCACCGAGCCTGACATCCACTGCCGCTCCCACGGCCCCTCTCGTCTCTGCTGGGTTCATCTCTTTCTCCTGGGTCTAGGAGGTTCTCAGCAAAGGGACCTTGGGCCCAAAGGACTCGCTCTGCAGCCCGGCTCTTATTCGTGATGGGAGTTAGGTTCTCCCTACCCCAGCCTGAAAGGGACTTGCTCTTTGAAGCCTAATGGGGTGGCAGACCTAGAGCTTCGCGCACCCCAGCTGCCCAGCCTCACTCAGTGACAGGAGCATGCCCGTAAAAGCAAGTCACGGCACCACCCAAGTCCTTTTTTGTCCCTTCTGTTTTATACATGGAGACACTGATATCCCAGGTACTCAGGGCATTGTTCGGAGGGCCCGAACTGAACCTGCTCAGTGCTCATTCTCCCAGTCAAGGAACCGCCAGGTCCCACGGGGACAAAGCAACGTGCTTGACTGTGTTTAAGCTGGAGCTTCCCAGAGTTGGAGGAGGAAGCCCTGGTGCTGGGTCTCCATCCTCCACGGTGCTGTTTCTGGAATTTTCCCTCTGTTTCGTACAGTTCCCCCCTGCCTCTGTCTGTCTGGCCGTTGTCACCCTTCTCTCTGTCTGTAGCCCTCTCCGTGATGCTCTCTGGGTCTCTGTCTCCGTGCCGGACCCCCCCAGCCTCTGTCTGTGTATCCAGTCCTCTTCCCTCCACCCCACCCCAGGTCTCTGTTGGACACCCCCCCCAAAGGGCAGAGCATGATGGGGCTTTACCCCAAGTTCCCCTCCAGGGGCAGCCAGCTCCCAGGGCTCTGAGAGCAAGTGGTGTAGACCTGGGGCTCTCATGGAGAACCTGGTTCTGGGGGAGGGTGGGCAGGGGGATCCAGCGAGTGACCTGGCGGTGTGGGGCCTGCAGCGCCGGATCCAGGTCCTAGAGGAGCAGCTCAAATCCCTGGGGGAGCAGATGGCGGCCGAGAGCCGGGGGCTGAGCCGGAAGAAGGAAGAGGCCCTTCAGGCCCTAACGCAGGTAAGTCTCCCAAGACCTGTTTCTAAGATACCCCCCCAACCCACCCCTCACGGGTCACCCCACCACATCCCTGCCCATCAGATGCCTCCTGGCATCAGGGAGAGCAGCTCTGAGAGGAGGTGTCCCTGCCCGCCCTTAGGAGCGGAGCCGGCTGCTGGAGCTGAGTCACTTTCCGGGATCGTCCAGCGGAGAGTTCTCTGAGCCCAGCCAGGCCCACACTAAGGTATGGGTGGCGGCGGCGGTGGTGTGTGTGTGTGTGTGTGATGTGATCTCCTCCCCCAGACCCAGGGGTCCAGCCCCCTCCTCATTCAGTTTAGGCCCTAGCTCCCTTTTTTTTTTTTGGGGGGGGGGCAGGATGAGCCAGAGCAAAGGCCCTGTGGTAGGAGTCAGATGGGGTGGGGCCGGGAGGCAATGTATTCCATCCAGGTGGAAAGGTGAGCCAGGCGGCATGTGGCCTGAGCGGTCCTCTGAGCCCCTTTGCTGTCCCCTCTGCCCAGCCCGCCCTTCCCTTCTCTGGAGCACCACTGCCCTTTGCCTGACTCCCACTAGTCTGAGCCTGGCATGCAATGGGTGCTCAGAGGAGGTGTTGGACTGGCTGGGTGAGCCCTTGGGGATCATCTGCTTCTCTCGAAACCCACTCTGGCCCTGGGAAAGAGGAGGTGCAGTGCGCTCAGCCCCACCTGGCCCGGCCCCCAGAGGGTGAGGGAGCCAGGAGCCACTGAGGCCATCGGCCTAGCTTCCTTTTTTCAAGAGAACCCGCCCCCCCATGCCCCCCAACACATACGGTTAAGTTTATGCTGGGAGGCTGGACACTATGTAGCGGTAGGGACTTGAAGCTGCCACGTTTCCATCCGGGAAGTGGGCTGGCGCTGGAAGCCTTGGCAGCCCTCGCCCAGCTCCCTGTCACCTCCGCCCCACCCTCGCAGCTCCTGTTCACCCACAAGACAGACCGTCAGCTGCTGGTGCTCCAGGACCCCACCGCCCACGCCGCTGCCACCACCACGGCCACCTCCTCCTGCCTCTTCTCTGTCCACAGCTCCCTGCAGGTACCTCTTCCCCGCCCCCCACCCCACCCCAGGGCACAGTGTCTGTGGGTGGGTGGGGGGGCTAAGACTAGAAGGCCCACTGGACAGGGTGGTGAGGTTCCCAGAATGGCCCAGGTGGCTCCTCTGCGGCGGTGGGGCAGGTAGAGGGTGTGGGCAGGGGGGCGGGGGTGGGGGTGGGCGGGAGGTGTATTAGCAGGATCTGTCAGGTTCCAGTTTTACCGCTCACTATCTTTGATTCTTTCACTTCCTCTTCCCACTCCTCCCCTCCCCCACGAACATGGGGGCTTGTGCATCCAGGAGTACATTTTTATTTACTTATTTATTTATCCAACCGTGTTATTGGCGTGTAATTCACCTATCATACAGTTCAATGGTTCAGTCACATCCCGAAGTGGACGGTCATCACCATGATCAGTAATCAGCTCCCCATTTCCCCCACCCCACCTGTTGGCCGCCCAAAGAACCATTCATCCAGTTCCTGTCTCTATAGATTTACCTATCCTGGATTTTAAAAAAAATTTATTTCCCCCCCTGGATTTCACCACATATAGGAAAACATCCAATAATCGAAACAAAACAAAACTAGCAACAGTAGCAAAGTAAAACAGAAAAACCTCAATCAAAAAGAAAGCAGACAACAGGATAATACTAAAACAAATTTAGACGGATCCTCAGGGAGATAGGCGCACATTTTTAAAGCGCTTAAGCAGGCAATATGAGAGGGCTTCAAAAAGTTTGGGGTGGTGGTGGAGGGTGGGATCGGTTATCTTTTAATTCCCTTTTCCACCACTTAAAAATGCAAACAAAAACTTTTTAGGGCGAGCTGGGCGGAGTGTGGAAGTGTGTTGACGGAACAGATCTGTTTTCCACTCACCAATTCCTGCCCCGTGCTTCCTCTCATCACTTGTCGTCCCACAATGCAGCAGCCTTTCTCCCACTTCCTGTGTCTGCGGTCCTTCTCCTCGCCTCGCCCTCTGTCCGAGGGCTTTTCCTGGGAACTTTGACCCTGGGCAGAGTCCACCCTGGAGAACTCAAATGGCTGTTGACATGGAGGCGTGTGGACCTCACTGATGGGACAGGGCCCCTTGCAGACCTGCCTGCTGTTTGGGGGACGCCGCCAGTCTCCACCAGGCCGCCAGCCTGGTCTGTTTTAGGAACTTGAGTTTTGTTCCACATTTTCTCCAGTGCTTTCCCCCCAGGGACTTCTTTCGGAGGAGGTGGCCGCGATAGCCGGACACTGTGGGGCGTTTCTGGTCTCAGGGTCGTAGAGCGCTGCTGTGCGTGTCCTGTGGGACAAATTGTCCCTAGGCTTCTTAGATTTTGGGGGGAAGACCAAGAGCGGCATCTCAGATGGCTGCCAGGAGCTTATTAAACCCTGGGAGCTACTCAGCAAAGTAGGGCTTAGAACCTTCTCTGTGTGCACCATGCCGATTGATCTTGGTGTCCCCACAACTATGGTCCTAGGCCCCCAGGCCCAGCGCCTCCTTCCCTTACGGTCTAAGATGTTTGTAGGTCCTCTCTGCGCTCCACCACGATAGTGGGTGTTTTGGCTGCAAAGGTAAATAACCACGTGCAAACATCCTTGGTCAAAGCTAGACACACGGATATATCTGTGGGGTGCCTCCCACTCTCTCCCACACCTGTCTGTCCATCATCAGCCCCCCATCCCACTCCTCCAAAATTGGCTCCACAAACCCTTAAAAGCCACCTCGTATTGCTAAGGTCGTCTGCACCATCATCATCCCCATCTCCCCAACTGCCATCCCCAGAAGCGGTGTAGCTACTGGTGTTCCGAGTAACCTTCCAGACCACCTTAAAACGTCCCAACATGGGCCTGGGTCAAAACTTGCATCTAATTGGATACCTTTTTTTAACACCCCACCCCCCACCCCAAAATGAACTGGAATAGGGAATGTTACAAAGCTGTGTACAAAGGCGCGTGACTATTAGAAGGAAAGGGTTTCTTTTCGTCAGTTGGGGTAGAAACATGGCGAACGCTTAGAACGTGGAAGCCCTTAGTATAAGGTGCCCTGGTGGCGTAGTGGGTGACTCGTTGGGCAGCTCATCACAAGGTCAGCAGTTCGAAGCCACCAGCCGCTCCGAGTGAGAAAGAACAGGCTTTCTGTTCCTGTAGAGTAGAAAGAGTTACAATCTGAAAAACCCACAGGGGCAGTTCCACCCAGTCCTGCAGGGTCGCTCTGAGTCAGAAGGGACAGTGGGTTTGGTTTTGCTATTAGAGGGTGCCTGTTTCTCCCACCCGCCCGCTCCTCTCCCCAACTACAGACACGAAGGGCCTTCCAAGAGCTGGTAGACAAATTCCATTATCTTTTAATTCCAGTTTCCCCAGGGACTTTTTGAGAACTCCTCCGTGCAATACAATTCATTTAAAGTGTATGGGCGAGTGGTTTTTAATCTGGTCAGAACCATGATCGATTCTAGAACATTCTCAGTGTCCCAGACGGGAAGCTTACCCCCACAGCCATCATTTTCCAACTCTTCCCATCCGTCCAGTCGCCGGCACCCACGCCTCTCCCCGTCCTGTCTCTGTTCTAGCCGACTCGTAGAAGTGGACTCACATGACCCGTGGGGCTTTGTGACTGGTGTCTCTTGTCACTGGGCATCACGTTGTCAAGGTTCATCTGTGTTCACAGCGGGCCTCTTGGTCTTCGCCAAGGGGATGAGTGGTTTCCCTCAGCTGCTCTCTGACCTAAGGATCCCTGGTGGTGCAGTGGGTTACACCTCGGGCTGCTAACCACAAGGTCAGCAGTTCGAGACCACCAGCTGCTCCTCGGGAGAAAGACGAGGCTTTCTGTTCCCATACAGAGTGTGTCTCAGGAAAAGAAAAAAAAAAAAAGAGTGAGTCTCAGAAACCACAGGGGCAGCTCTGAGTGAGACCCATCGCCTGCAGTGAGTTCGATGTGTGGTTTGGGTTTCTGACTTAGAACTGAGCTCCAGCATCTTTTTCCCTCTGTGATTAGCTTCTTATGTTTCTAGGGCTCCATTGGCCTCCAGAGGACCGGAAGCCTGTCCCGGAGACGGGGAGAGAGGACGAACCAGAGAGGATCCCCGCGACCTCTGTCCCTCCATTGTACTGGTAAGGACCCTTCCCCTCCCCACCACCCAAGTTCCCCTCCACCATCTCTCCTGCAGCAGGGGGAAGGAACCGGAAAAGACACCTACCGGCAAGAAATGCCCACTTGAGTAAAGGGATTGTCCAACCCCCTGACTCGACCTCCTCTCCCCTAGGACCCCTAGAGGCCTCAGCTCTTTCGACAGCAGCCGAAGATTCTGGGAGACACCCCCTCTATCAGCTACTGAACTGTAGCCCTGGGAATAGGTGAGCCATCAGGGAGAGGTGGGGGGATGGGAGGAGAAGGCCAAGCTGCTCTAACGGCCTTCTTCTCCACTCTCTGCTTCCAGCCATGGGGCCCTGCACCCAGACATTGCCCGCATGGAGCGGCTCCTGCAGCAGGCCGTGGCCGAGAGGGAGCGGTTACTCAAGGCCAGGGTGAGCCCTCTCCCTGGGGACGGGATCCCAGGGGCCTGCTCTTCAGACCCAGGAGTCCAGATCCCAGCCCCTCCTCCCTCAGACCCAGGGATCCAGGCCCCTCCTCCCTCAGACCCAGGAGTTGAAGCCCCCAGCCCCTCCTCCCTCAGGCCCAGGAGTCCAGGCCCCCAGCCCCTCCTCCCTCAGCCAGCACTCCTGCATATTCCCTGCATCTTACTGGTGGCTGCATCCTGAGCCTACAGGAAGGGACGAGGAGGAGCACGGAAGGTTCTTCAGGCCCTGCCGTTCCCGCCATCATGGTCAGTGCCCCTCACCTCTGCCCTGCTCTCTCCCCTGTTCTCAGCCCCCTCCGGACTCCACCCCTCCCCCTCCTCCAGTGGGAGAGGCTGGTGGTTTCGAACTGCTGACCTTGTGATTAGCAGCCCAACATGTAACCCACTACAACACCAAACTCAGAACTCAACTGCATAGAGCTGATGCTGAATCACAGCGACCCTCCAATGCCAGGGTAGAACTGCCCCCGGGAGTTTCTGGGACCAGCACTCTGGGAATAGGAAGCCCCGTCTTTCTCCCGCGGAGGGGCTAGTAGTTTTGAACCACGGACCTTGGGGATTGCAGCTCAATGTGTTACCACCACACCCCCCAGAGCTCCTCTTCCTACAATACCAGGGTGCCTAAAAACCCACCCCAACCCAACCTGTTGCCAACAGGTCAATTCTGGCTCATCGCACCTCTGTAGCGTTTCTGATGCTGTAAAATCCTTACTTATGGGAATAGCCAGCCTTGCCCTTCTCCCTTGGAAAGGCTGGTGGGTTTGAACCACCAACCTTGCAGTCAGCATCCCAGCAACGCTCACCGACAGTGCCACCAGGCCTCCTGACCAGGACGATTAGCTCAACAGTGAGCACCAGCCGACGAAGAGGGACGATGAAGCCAGTGCCCTCATTCATTTCTTGACCACTAGTTATCGGCTGCCTGTTTTAAAGACGCAGTCATGGGGGTCCCTGCCTCACAGCCCCCCATGTCTCACATGCCCCTGGGTTTCATTCGGGTCAGGAGGGCCTGGGTTTGAGTCCCAGCTCTGCTCTCCTGAAGCGCAGGTGACCTGAGGGTGGGGGCTAACACATCACTCAGTTTGTTCATCTGTCAAATGGGGCTCCTCAGAACCCTGTCTCCAGGGTGGTTGAGGGGAGGGTTTAGCAGTGGCTGCGTGGAAAGCCCTGGCAGTGTAGGAGATGGAGTGGCTGGGATCCCCTCCCTTCCTCATTGTTAGCGCAATAGAAAGGCTTCGGCCGGTAAATACACGGATGCATGAGGCGCTGGGTGGCGGCTGCAGGCTGCAGGCTGGTCAACAGCCCCCTCCTCTTCCCTCCCCAGGCCCCGCCCACACCCCCACCCCGCCCCCCAGGCCCCCGAGTAAGAAGGCAACATAACAGATTAGCAATGAGAGCAAAGCCAAGCCACAAAGCCCTGAGGAGCCCCTAATCGGGGGGCTGCTGCCGCGGGCCCCTGGTGAAGATGGGGGGTCGCATCAAGACGTGGAGGAAGCGCTGGTTCTGCTTTGACCGCCAGGCCCGGCGCCTGGCCTACTATGCAGGCAAGTCCAGCAGGGCTGCCTGCGCCTCGGGCCACCTGGGCCTGCAAGAGTGTAGCCGGAGGCCTTTGGCCTCAGCCAGCCAGCAACTCTGACCCCCGGCCTCGGGCTCTCCTAGGCCTCTGAGCCTGGGTCCCCAGGCCCTTTCCCCCTCAGTACTCCTGAGTCAAAGGAGTTCTCCCTGCTTCCCCAAGATCCAGGAATTCTGGCCCCTAGCTCCTCCTTCCCATCACCCAGGGGACTGGTCTGTCAGGCCTCTCATCTCCCGGGATCCTTAGCCCCTGCCTCCTTAAGCGACCAGATGCCCAGCCCTATTATGTAACGGTGAGATCCGTTGTGTGCCGTTCGGCTCTCCACGTTCCAGGAGTGTGAGCCTAGAGCGGCGGTTCTCAACCTGTGGGTCGTGACCCCTTTGGGTCGGTTGAACGACCCTTTCACAAGGGTCACCCAGTTCATCGCAGTAGCAAAATGACAGCAATGAAGTAGCAACAAAAAATAATGTTATGGATGGGGGGTCACCACAACATGAGGAACTGTATTAAAGGGTCGAGGCATTAGGAGGTTGAGAACCACTGGCCAAGAGCCTTTCCTCCCACTCCAAGACCCTAAGGAATCAACCCCCTAGTCTTTCCTCTAGAGAGATCCCGGGCTCCGATCCCCTCTCTGAGTCCCTGCCCTTCCTAGGGCTGAAGTACTGACTCCAGCGCCCACACACAGTCAGTCTCCCATGGCGCATCGTCAGCGTTCAGACTCTTCCCAACCACTGCACTTCAAAGTCTTACCGTGCTCCTGACCCAGCCAACCCTAGTACTTGAGGGTTCTCCAGATGCTCACCATGTTCCCGACCCCAACCCCAGCCTCAACATGGGTCCAGTGACTCCACCCCCACCCCCCACCCACCCAGACTCTTAACTGTCTCTATTTCTCCCTTGTCCTCTCCCCAGACAAGGAAGAGACCAAGCTCAAAGGCGTCATCTACTTCCAGGCCATCGAGGAAGTCTACTACGACCACTTACGCTGTGCCTTCAAGGTGAAGCCCTCCTCCCCTCAGCGTGCCCCTGTGTGCTCACCCCCCACAACCCCCTAGAGGTCAGAGCCCGGCCTTCGAGCCCAGGAGACAGCAGGTCGCCTCACCCCCGGGACTGGAGACGCAGGGCCCGCTGTCCCTCGTTCCCAGCCGCTGCCACTTTCCTTGGAGTAAAAGCTGCAGAGCCCGGATTTGGCCCGCTGGGAACGCACAGTGTGGAGGCAGCCCTGGGGTCAGCCTGAGGAGCTGGCCTCCTCGGGGCCTGAGCCTGTTGAATGTCTTCCCCCTGAGAACTCGGGACTCCGAACTTTCACAGACACGCAGTGCTGGCTGGGAAGGATCTGATAAATCATTCCATTTTTAGAAAGCTCCCAGAGCGGAGACCGGAGGAAGCTTTTGGAATGTGACCTCGGGGAAGGGGCTTCCCTTCGCTGAGCCTTAGTTTCCCTCCTCTGTAGAGTGGACACAACCCAGCCCACCCTCAGAGCAATAAGGCTCGCATAGAGAACGGATACCCAACTCATTAGCTGCCACTGGCTCGGGGCGGCCTCACGCACCACAGGGGGAGATAGTGCCTGGTCCTGCCCGGTCTTCCTTCACCATCGCTGGCCTGCCCGAGCCCATGGCTGAGCCCGCTGCGACCCAGCACCGTACTGGACACGGTCCAGTTAGGGCCCTTATGGTTTTCATGGCTAATGTTCAGACGCAGAGGGGAACACACAAACCAGCACAGTACGACGCTCTCGCTGCTGAGTCGGGTGGGGTAGTAAGTCCCCAAATGCAAACTCACTGCCATCGAACCCATTCGGGCTCCTAGCAACCCTCTACTGTATAAGAACCGCCCCCTGTGGGTTTGCAAGACTAACCTTTTACAGGAGTGAAAAACCTCACCTTTCTCCCAAGGTGCAGCAGGTGCTTTTGAACTTCTGACTGTAGGGTTAGCAGGCCAAAGGCATAAGCACTACGCCACCGTGGCTCCTGATCTAGCATCTAGAGCTCTTTCCTTGAGTTAACGACTTGCTTTTGGGGTAGTCAATAGTTATCCCAATAAAGGAACTCTGGACACGAGGTCAGGCACCCTGGTGGCGCCGTGGGAGAAGAGTTGGGCTGCTAGCCATGAGCCCGGTGGTTCAAGCCCACCGGCAGCTCCTCGGGAGGAAGATGAGGCTGCCCCGTCTTGCTTACTACTTAATGCACAGTGAGCAAATCCACATGGGTCTCACCACATCAGAGGTGTGGAGAAACCTGGGCCTCTGCTCACTCCCCACAGATTAGTCAGCAAGCATCTGTGAGCTCGTGCTGCCCTGGGGGACTGGTTCCACCGTGCCTGTCATGGGTTGGTTGTGAGTTTGTTAAAGAAACTGGAAAATTCTGTAGCACTGTGTGGTAGGGTTGAGAGAGACCGAAGCCAGCCAGCCCTAGACGTAGCGTTGTTGCTGCCTAAGGATCCCTGCAGATGAACAAGCAAGCACTATTAAGCCCGAGCTTCCCTCTCGTGTAGGGTGACCCAACACGGCCTGGGGGTGCCATTTAGAACGACAGGAGGGAATGAAGCCCACCTTGCCACAAAGGGGCCCCCGGGGGGTGCTGGGCTAAGCGGAGGCCCCGCATGGAGAAAGACCAGGCATGCTATGTGTGGAGGTTTACCACGCCCGGGAGATGCGCAGCCCACCACCAGGGTTCCTGCTTCGCTCCTACAGGGGCTTCGTGGTTAGCGAGTGGACCGAGCAGGCTGGAACTTGGCACCTCGTGGGCAGCCCGTCCCTGTCCCCTTCCCCTCCCTCATCTCCTGCTGCTCCTCCTTTCAGAGCCCCAGCCCGCGCCTGACCTTCTGCGTCAAAACCTACGAGCGCCTTTTCTACATGGTGGCCCCCAACCCGGAGGCCATGCGCATTTGGATGGACGTCATCGTGACCGCAGCCGACGAGAACCACGCCCCCTGACAGGCCCCGCCCACCGGGAGGGCGTCCCCGCCGAGGCCCCGCCCAGTGCGCTCGCGCAACGCGGCGCTCCGCCCACTGCCGGGGAGCGCGCGCCCGCCCCTTCGGAACCGCCCCGCTCCGATAGCCTGCCCAGTTGCGTTCGGCGGTGTGCCTGGTCTGGACCACTGCTGGCCGACTCGCATCAAGGCACAGGCCTCCCGGGCCCCGCTCCTCGTCCCGAGGGCCCTGCCCCGGGCATAAGGAAGATTGCAGGGGTGGAAAGGAACTATTTATTGGTGCTCCTGTGAGACAGAATTAAACTTGGAGGAAAAACAATAGTTGCTGTGGTTTTTGGCCCAGATTTCGAGAGGGCAGAGGGAGCGGGGGTGCTGGGCCCCTAGGCAGGACAAGCAAGTTATGGGTGCTTCTGAGAAGGGAGCGCCCCACAGCCGGTTGCCCAGCCTAGGAAAGCCCTGGGATGGGGGCCAAGGAGGCATTCATTCCTTTGTGTCCAGGGAATTTTACCCTGATCAGGCTATTTGCAAGAAACCCTGGGCCGGCAGGGTTAACTGCTTGCTGACTGCAAGGTTGGGCGTTCAAATCCACCAGCTGTTCAGTGGGAGAAAAAGGAGGCTGCTTAAGGTGTATAGTCTTGACAACCCAAAGAGAGCAGTTCTACTCTGCCCTATAAAAACTGACAGCAGTGTGTGTGTGTGTGTGTGTAGGGGTGGGGTGGGGCCTGTTCGTAACTTCTAGTCACTACTAGATCCCCCTCTGAGCACTCAGGGGTCATCAGAGGTCCATGGGAGCAGAACTGTCCCCTGACCAGAGCACATCTCACACCATGAAAGTGAATTCAAAACATCCTCTCAAGCCTCCGGGATCTTTGTTCTCCAAGAAGCCCTCTCTGATTACCCTGGCCAAGTCAGATGCTCCCCCACCCCTGTGTGGACCCCTCTGATGGTGTCTCCCTTGACCAGCCTGGGCCATCACTCCAGATGGAAGGGCACTCCATGGGCAGTTGCCCTGGGAAGCAGGCACGGGTCCAGGCCTGGCCACCACCCAGTCTAGTGGGAGCTAGATTCTGAAGGAATGTTCTCTGGTTGAATCAGATGACGAGAGAACGATGCTAAGGACTGGGGACAGCTGTGAACCAGGCAGAGCAAACTTTCGGCTGAGTTCCTGCCTCAGGTCTCATTATAGATGTCCCTTCAAAGTTCTCCCTGGTCCCTAGGCAGGGCCACGTGCTTCTTTGGGAGTCCCACAGTCTCCTGGGCATCCTCACTGCAGCCCTGACTACTCTTCAGTGGTCACTGTATGGGGACAGATTGTCCCCCGCTGTCAAGCCCCTCGACTCAGACACTCAGTCCCTCTCTCATCCCAGGATCCAGGTGTCCCATCACCCCCTGGGTGCCAGACTCCCTTGAGGTTCAGAAAGGGTGCTCCTAAACCCTGGGAGGTAAACACCCCAATCCCCAGGCCCGGGTGGTACAAGGACAAGTTGGGCTGTTAACCACAGGTTGGCACCCTCCAAGCTGCACCTGTAAGGAGCCCTGGTGGTGGAGTGGAGTCCGCGTTGGGCTGCTAACCACAGGTTGGCAGTTTGAAACCAATGCCTGCTCCTCGGGAGAAAAATGAAGCTTTCTACTCTGGTAAAGGTTTACTGTTTTGGGAACCCACAGGAGCAATTCTACCCCATCCTATAGACTGGCAATGAGTCAGAATGGTCTCCATGACAGTGAGTGTGAAGTTCTGGATGCACATAAAGGCATTAGGTGGCTAACCCAAAGGTCCGTGGGTCAAATCCACCAGTCGTTCCTTGGGAGAAAGACGAGGTTGTCTGCTCCCGGAAAGACTGCTCCGGAGCAGTTCCACTCTCTCCGAGAGTCACCGTGAGTTGGAATAAACCAGAAGGCAGGGAGTTTGGTTTGGATTTTCTGGGGTGCCAGATGTCCCCTGGCCTGCGTCTCCAGGTGAGAGACATCTGGCCGCCCTTCTGCGGGGAGGGGGGGGGGGCTC